CTGTCTGACTCTGCAACCCCATGGACTGAAGTACATCAGGCTCCCCTGTCCTTCACCATCTCCCAGAGTTTGCTCAAATTCATGTCCACTGAGTCAGTGATGCTGTCGAACCATCTCATCCTCTACCATCCCCTTCTCCTTTTGCCTTCAGTCTTTTCCAGGATCAGGGTCTTTTCCAGTAAATCAGCTCTTCACATCAGGTGGCCAAAGCATTGGAGCTTCAACTTCAGCATCTGTCCTTCTAAAGAATATTCAGGGTCGGTTTCCTTTGGGATTGACTGGTTAGATCTCCTTGCTGTCCAAGGAACTCTCAGGAGCCTTCTCCAGCACCACAGTTAGAAAGCACCAGTCCTTCGGCCCTCAGCCTTTTTTATGATCCAACTTTCACATCCATTTCCCTTCACTCTTTGTTTCTAGCAGTTTTAGTTTTACATATTGATTATAAATTTCAAATCTTAGTAACCTTTACTTTCCAGTGAAAATTAGGAGACATGCTTTTGTGAAGTGTCTGTTGGGTATTAGTATCCTATAGTAAATTAGCAAATTTATAAAAACAATTATAAAAACTTACAATTTTTTTACAAGACAAAGAATTTTTATAGTCCAATTTTTTAAGATCGCAAAGACATATTTATTAATGGATCTAAATATATTTGTACAAAGTCAAGAAGCCAAAAACAGATAAATTTATGCTTAGCAATGAATGTTTCAATTAATCACTCTATTGGGAAGTTATCTAGATATTCAATGAATATCCATTATTTAAACAGTACAAACTTTTATCTCATTTGCACCTATTTAAATTGCTTTTTAACAATTGTACTCGGATTAAATGTTAGACAGGTAATCATCTGAAGTTATTTTTCTCGTTGATTAATTTTTTTAACAGATAGTGTGAACTTGTCTGTAAATACATGTAGAAAAAGTTGCATGTTTGCTTTATATATAACGCTGACAACTCTGAAGACACGCTCATTTTATTAAATCAACAAACTTAAACTAACTTTTGTCAGATATTATCCCAGATTATGTGAACCTGAAAAACATTTGTGTTAGTTTCTAAAATTGTAAGTTTTTGCAGTAGTTGATTCATATAAGCTCCTGTTTTTCTTAAAGACAATTTAATAGAATTCTTAAAAAATTTTCATGCACATATGCACATATACAAAAACATATAGACAGACACAAACAGAAATCTTATAGCTTTCATCTGATAATTTTAGCAATGTCTCAGGTACAGTAATGCAAAACTCAAGAGAATAGTTGTATCCAAATTTGATTTCTGGCAGGTGGGCTAAGATTACCTGCTCAGATGGCCAACGTACATTACTAAACATTTCAAATCTCTGCACTGCAAGAATTCTTTTAGAGAAGATGTGTTTGGAGCCATGATGTCTATCAGAAGCTTCTTCACGCCAATCAAAGAATGAGTTCCAGTGTTTCTGAGAGGTTTGGGATCCTCTCATCTCAAGAGTGTCCCTTAAGGTAGAGTATCTTAATCAAAGTTCCCTCAAAGTGGCCACTGTAATTCCAAGTTATCCAAAATTTCACCAATTTTCTGAAAAGGCACAAGATCCTGGTTTCTAGAGTGTATACACGTAGGAAGCAGGAGTTTCCGAGGGTGGAGAAAGAGCTTTAGACCAAGTAGAACCCATCTTTGCCTTTAGATCACTTATCTACAAGGGAAGGAAAAATATCAAGGAATATAAAGAAAGCCACAGCAAGAGGAATTCGAGGAGGAGGGACTCAATGGGGCCAAATGTTCCAGAGAGATTAAAGAGGATGAAGACTGAGAAAAGACCATTGCATTTGGTCTTGAGTGGACTCCACGGGAAGGTAAGGGCAGGAGCCTGGTGCTAAGGGAAAAGAAACAAAAATATGAAGATACATGTGTGATGGCTCTTTCCAGGACGGTATGTAGGAAGAGGGAAAGATAAAACTGTTCAAGACTTAGCAGGATAGAGGAGATGTTTATTTTAGGCAGAGTACTATTAGCACTGCTTCAGAACTATTAGTAGACTCATGAAAGGGGTCAGGGAAAGGAGAAGTGGAAGATAAAAGGGAAAAATTTTGCAGTGATAGAAAGGTAGGTGGTGGGAACTGGCATCACAAGGCAGCGTGCAAGCAACCGAGACTCATTTTGGACCATCACAGGGAAACAGATCATTTATTGCCTCATGAAGTTGAAACAAAAGATCGGGGAAAGAGGCCAAGGAAGCAGAACTCAGAACTCAAATGTTGCTAAGCTATTATCACCGCCGTTCATACCTGCTTCTCTCGGCAGGCTGGCTCTCATGGGAACATGGCTGCCAACCTCTGCAGGCCGCGTGATCACAGTTTCACGGTCAGAGAAGCTGGAAAGGGAGGGACTGGAAAATTCTGTTTCTGGAGTCAGACTCCAGAATCCTTGCTCTGCCATTTATTTTGGCAAATTACATAATTTTCTGAGTCTCAGATTCCTTCTCAGAACAATGGGATAATCATAGAATCTGTGCTGCGTTTAGTTGTTCAGTCGTGTCTGACTCTTTGTGGTCCATCCCCATGGACTGTAGCCCGCAAGGCCCCTCTGTCCATGGGGTTCTCCAGGCAAGAATACTGGAGTGGGTAGCCTTTCCCTTCTCCGGGGGATCTTCCCAACCCAAGAATCGAGCCAGGGTCTCCTGCATTGCAGGTGGATTCTTTACCAGCTGAGCTACCAGGGAAGGCCCAATCAGTTAATCTACTTCATACGAATTAAAGGAGACAGTACAACACAGTGCTGGCATTTTGGGGTGTTAATCGTTAATCCTGCTGGTGTTATCATTACCACCATTAAGGTTATGGAACTGAGCCTCTCGCCTTGACTCCAACCTGAATAACTTCAGGGAAGAAGTCTGATTGGCCCAGTCCGAGTCACCTGCTCATCGCTGTGGTCAAGGGGGTGGGGAACCTGGTGGGCAGCTCCACCAGAACCACACGGGTGGGTGGATGTGGGGCGGTGGTAGCTGAAAGAAGGAAAGTCTGCCTCCAGGAGAAGGAAGGGTAATGAAGAGTCGCAGGAGCTGTCCACGCCAAGGAGAGAAGTTAGTCCAGAGAAAGGAAGGGACTGTCCTTCTGGAGTCTTCAACATCTGTTCCTCTCATTTGGATGGCTGCATACATTCATACATCTCACTCGAGTGAATTCTTTTTTTTTTAGCCTGAACCATGTGGCATGTGTAATCTTAGCTTCCTGACCAGGGCTCAAACCCGTGCCCCTGCCTTGGGAGCTTGGAGTCTTAACCACGGAATGGCCAGTGAAGTCCCCTTCCTCAAGTAAACTGGACTTGAGGTTTTCCTAAAGGCAACGATCTGGAGTCCACAGAATGTTGCAGGTTCTATTTAATGACCTCAGTGCCACCAGGAGAGGAGGCAGGACCCCAGGGTGGCACACTGTGCAGGGATTGGTTGGCAAGGCAGGAAGCAGAGCCAGCATCATAGGGTAGGCTGGGCTTAGCATCACTGCCACTGGCTTTCTAGGCCAATCACGCCACTCTTCTTCCCAGCAGGCGCAGAAAAGATGTCTCAGCACCTGAAGTCCACTGTCCTCTGTCTTACCTGTGAACGTGGCATCCTGGAGAGGACAACCTCAGGCTGCTCCTTTTCCAATGATGATTGTGCCACCTCTTCTGGAATAGGGCCCATCTCTCTGACAGACACTACCTGTCCTTTCTCTTCCCACCAATCTCAGTCCAGCTGTGTGTGATTTCGCGTCTCTGTAGCACTCACACGCCCCACTTTGGACAAAGATCAGGGAATAGCAAACACCGCCATAGTCTTCACCCTATGCCAGATGTTCTGATGCAGAGACCAGGCACTGATGAGAGCCTTGCCAAGTCTGAGCCTTGTTTTTCTCATTTATGTGGAAGATCTGAGACCCGAAGGGGGCGGGAATCACGTGTTTAATATCAGACAGAAGCCAGCAGCAGAAGAGGACCGGCTTGTGTAAGTAGCTCACAAATAGTAGGGAACACAGGCGCAGGAACAGCTCAGTACAGAGCCTTGTGATAGATGTTGCAAGAGGGATAGGAGTCACCCCACAGCTGAACAGAAAAGGGAGGTGTTCATTTTGTCCCCGGGAAAGAGCCAGCTGGAATGAGGGGATGAGCTGGGAAGTGTCGACATAATGAAGAGGGCCTCAAGTCTGAATAGGATTCTGCTACACGTTACGGGCTAAACTGTAATTTCATCATCACCCCTAGTAAGGGGCTTCCCAGGTGGCTCAGTGGTAGTGAATCCACCTGCCAAAGCAGGAGATGTAGGAGATGGAGTTTCGATCCCTGGGTCAAGATGATCCCCTGGAAGAGGAAATAGAAAACTACTCCAGTATTCTGGCCAGGAAAAATCCATGGACAGGGGAGCCTGGTGGGCTGTACAATCCATGGGTCTCAAAGAGTTGGACATGACTGAGTGACTAAGCACGCTTGCACGTACCCCCAGTACCTCAGAATATGCCTATATTTGGCGACAAGGCCTTTAAAGAGGGAATTAAATTAAAATGAGGTCATTGGGGTAGGCCCTCATGCAATGCATCTTACCTGGTGGTACAGCAATTAAGAATCCACCTGTCATGCAGGAGACTTAGGTTTGATCCCTGGGTTGGGAAGATCCCCTGGAGGAGGGCATGCAACCCACTCCAATATTCTTGCCTGGAGAACCCCGTGGACAGAGGAGCCTGGAGGGCTACAGTTTATGGGGTCACAAAGAGTCAGACACGACTGAAGTGACTGAGTACACACGCGCATCCAATGCATCTGGTGTCCTAACAGCAGGAAGAGATTAGGATACAGACACGCATAGTCGGACGATCCTGTGAAGACCCTGGGAGAAGACGGCTGCATGCAGTCACAGGGAGAGGCCCCAGATACTAACCCTGCCGGCACCTTGATCTTGTATTTCCAGCCTCAAGAGCTGTGAGAAAATAAGTCAGTGGTTTTCCCATCCAGCCCAAGCAAACTAATAACTAAGCTGAGGAAGACATACCTGGTGGAGGCGCAGTGCAAATTCCGTCCCGGAAGGTAAGGACCACATGGCCTGATTCGGCAGTGAGATTCAGGTCCCAGGACACTGAGCTGGGGCCAGAACACATAGCGGCTGGAACCCCAGGAGGCAGGAATGTGATGTAATTAGAAGATGAGAGATGGATGAGTGATGGAGCGGGAAGGGGCAGATGTGGCGTAAGGAGCACATTCCCGCATCCAGTCTGTCCTCAACTGAGTTCATCTTTCCACGTGTCTTTTTGATCCCCCCTCTTCTGAGCCCCCACCTCCCTCCTGCTCTGGGCCTGTATCAGCAGCACCTGGGTTATCACTGCCGCCCCCCCCGCCAGCCCCCCGGTGCAGTCCCCAGGCTCCAGGCCTTCTGGCCCCACTTGGAGAAGGGCCTGATTCTTAAGCTGAGTAGCAACATGTTTTTGTTTTGTTTGTAAAAATGAATAGTACTGAAGGAACATTTTCACAGGCTGTGGAAGCCAACGGGCAAGACGCTCCCCAAACGGCAGTTTTAAAATGGCTCTTAGCAGAAGCACTGCTATTAGGGAAAAAAAGAAAAAATGTGTAATCTATTATGGGGAAAAAACACATGGGGTACTCAGTTTGGGGATTCTTGTTTCAAAATTCTGTATCATGGTAAGTTTATTCTGACTCTTGTGAAAACATGAACATTTAGTAATAGCAAAGTCAATTTAAAGAAAGGACAGTGAGCCATGAAGACATTTTAAAATATAAAAGAAAAGGCTTTTATTTTATTAGTTCAGAAAAAGACAATTGGATCAATAGGACAGAACAGAAAGTCTAGAAATAAACTCATGTACTTATGGGAATTTAATGTTTGCTAAAAATATTTCAAGTCAGTAAGTAGGGAAAAATGATTCAGTGTGAGGATAGTTGGTTATCCAATAGAGAGAAGAAAAGTTGTAACCCTATCTCATATCGATCATAAAACTAAATGGGAGCTGAATTAAAGACCAAAATCAATTTTGTTGTTTGCTTTAAGTCTAACTCTTTGCGATTCCATGGACTGCAGCGGCCAGGCTTTCCTGTCCTTCACTATCTCCTGGAGTTTGCCCAAACTCACGTCCACTGAGTCAGTGATGCTATGCAACCATCTCATCGTCCTCTGTACACCCCTGTTTCTCCTCCTGCCTTCAATCCTTCCCAGCATCAGGGCCTTTTTCCAGTGAGTCGGCTCTTCACATCAGGTGGCCAAAGTATTGGAGCTTCAGCTTTAGCATCAGTCCTTCCAATGAATATTCAGGGTTGATTTCCTCTAGGATTGACAGGTTGGATCTCCTTGCAGTCCAAGGGACTCTCAAGAGTCTTCTCCAACATCACAGTTCAAAAGCATCAATCCTTCAGCGCTCAGCCTTCTTTATGGTCCAACTCTGACACCCATACATGACAACTGGAAAAACCAAAGTTTTCATTGGATGGACCTTTGTTTGCAAAATAATGTCTCTTCTTTTTAATATGCTATCTCAGTTTGTCATAGTTTTTCTTCCAAGGAGTAAGCATATTTTAATTTCATGGCTGCAGTCGCCATGTGCAGTGATTTTGGAACCCAAGAAAATTAAGTCTGTCACTGTTTCCATTGTTTCCCCATCTATTTTCCATGAAGTAATGGGACTGAAACTCTGCATTCAAATGGGTATACCTTTCCTTTTCTCCTTTGCTTTTCGCTTCTCTTCTTTTCAAAGCTATTTGTAAGGCCTCCTCAGACAACCATTTTGCCTTTTTACATTTCTTTTCCATAGGGATGGTCTTGATCCCTGTCTCCTGTACAATGTCATGAACCTCCGTCCATAGTTCATCAGGTACTCTGTCTATCAGATCTAACCCTTAAATCTATTTCTCACTTCTACTGTATAGTCATAAGGGATTTGATTTAGGTCATACCTGAATGGTCGAGTGGTTTTCCCTACTTTTTTCAATTTAAGTCTGAACTTGGCAATAAGGAGTTCATGATCTGAGCTACAGTCAGCTCCCTGTCTTGTTTTTGCTGACTGTATAGACCTTCTCCATCTTTGGCTGCAAAGAAAATAATCAGTCTGATTTCGGTGTTGACCATCTGGTGAGGTCCATGTGTAGAGTCTTCTCTTGTGTTGTTGGTAGAGGGTGTCTGCTATGACCAGTGTGTTCTCTTGGCAGAACTCTATTAGCTGTTGCCCTGCTTCATTCCGTATTCCAAGGCCAAATTTCCCTGTTACTCCAGGTGTTTCTTGATTCCTACTTTTGCATTCCAGTCCCCTATAATGAAAAGGACATCTTTTTTGGGTGTTAGTTCTAAGAGGTCTTGTAGGTCTTCATAGAACCGTTCAACTTCAGCTTCTTTAGCATTACTGGTTGGGGCATAGGCTTGGATTACTGTGATATTGAATGGTTTGCCTTGGAAATGAACAGAGATCATTCTGTCATTTTTGAGACTGCATCCAAGTACTGCATCCACATCCGCTGGATCATCGAAAAAACAAGAGAATTCCAGAAAAACATCTATTTCTGCTTTATTGACTATGCCAAAGCCTTTGACTGTGTGGGTCACAATAAACTGGAAAATTCCAAAAGAGATGGGAATACCAGACCACCTGACTTGCCTCTTGAGAAACCTATATACAGGTCAGGAAGCCACAGTTAGAATGAGACATGGAACAACAGACTGGTTCCAAACAGGAAAAGGAGTATGTCAAGGCTGTATATTGTCACCCTGCTTATTTAACTTATATACAGAGTACATCATGAGAAACGCTGGGCTGGAAGAAGCACAAGTTGAAATTAAGATTGCCAGGAGAAATATCAATAACCTCAGATATGCAGATGACACTACCCTTATGGCAGAAAGTGAAGAGGAACTAAAATCCTCTTGAAGAAAGTGAAACAGGAGAGTGAAAAAGTTGACTTAAAGCTCATTCAGAAAACTAAGATCATAGCATCTGGTCCCATCACTTCATGGGAAATAGATGGGGAAATAGTGGAAGCAGTGTCAGACTGTATTTTTGGGGGCTACAAAATCACTGCAGATGGTGACTGCAGCCATGAAATTAAAAGATGCTTACTCCTTGGAAGGAAAGTTATGACCAACCTAGATAGCCTATTAAAAAGCAGAAACATTACTTTGCCTACAAAGGTCCGTCTAGTCAAGGCTATGGTTTTTCCAGTGGTCATGTATGGATGTGAGAGTTGGACTGTGAAGAAAACTGAGCGCCGAAAAAATTGATGCTTTTGAACTGTGGTGTTGGGGAAGACTCTTGAGAGTCCCTTGGACTGCAAGGAGATCCAAGCAGTCCATCCTAAAGGAGATCAGTCCTGAGTGTTCATTGGAAGGACTGATGTTGAAGCTGAAACTCCAATACTTTGGCCACCTCATGCGAAGAGCTGATTCATTGGAAAAGACCCTGATGCTGGGAGGGATTGGGGGCAGAAGAAGGGGACGACAGAGGATGAGATAGCTGGATTGCATCACTGATTCGATGGACATGAGTTTGAGTAAACTCTGGGAGTTGGTGATGGACAGGGAGGCCTGGCATGCTGCGATTCATGGCGTCGCAAAGAGTTGGACACGACTGAGTGACTGAACTGAACTGAATGGAACTGGATGCCATGATCTTAGTTTTTTGAATGTTGAGTTTTAAGCCAGCTTTTTCACTCTCCTCTTTCACTTTCATTAAGAAATTCTTTAGTTCCTCTTCACTTTCTGCCATAAGGGTGATGTCATCTACATCTCTGAGGTTATTGATATTTCTCCCAGCAATCTAGATTCCAGCTTCATCCAGCCTGGAATTTCACACGATGTACTCTGCTTAAGTTAAATAAGCAAGGTGACAATATACAGCCTTGATGCACTTCTTTCCCAAATTTGAACTAATGCATTGTTTCATGTCTGGTTCTAACTGTTGCTTCATGACCTGCATACAGATTTCTTAGGAGGCAGGGAAGGTGGTCTAGTATTCCCATCTCTTTAAGAATTTTCCACAGTTTGTTGTGATCCACGTAGTCAAAGGCTTGAGGGGAGTTGTTGAAGCAGAAGTAGGTGTTTTCCTGGAATTCTCTTGCTTTTTCTATGATCCAACCAATGTTGACAATTTGATCTCTGGTTCCTCTGCCTTTTCTAAATCCAGCTTGCAAATCTGGAAGTTCTCAGATCACACACTGTTGAAGCCTGTCTTGGAGTATTTTGAGCATGATGTATGTGAAATGAGCACAATTGTGCAGTAGTTCAAACATTCTTTTTCATTACCCTTCTTTGGGATTGGAATGAAAACTGACATTTTCTAGTCCTGTGGTCACTACTGAGTTTTCCAAATTTGCTGGCATATTGAGTTTAGCACTTTCACAGCATCATCTTTTAGGATTTGAAATAGTTCAGCTGGAATTCCATCACCTCCACTAGCTTTGTTCATCGTGATGCTTCCTAAGGCCCACTTGACTTCGCACTCCAGGTTGTCTGGCCCTAGGTGAGAGATCACGCCATCATAGTTATCTGGGTCATTAAGATCTTTTTTGTATAGTTCTTCTGTGTATTCTTGAAGAACCATACAAAAAAAAAGAGGTCTAAAATAGCATTTTAGAATGCTATAAATACTTTAGGAGAAGCTGTAACATACATCTCCCCCAAGATGATCTTGGGGAAGAAAAGGCCTTCTACACAAGACACAGACGCATATACACTCACACAAGTAAGACAAAAAAGAGAAGTACAAAGTCTCTATAATTTGATTACAACATTTTAAAAAGTCAAACACTTATAAATGATTAATACATGCATATGCACGTGTGTGTGTGTGTGTGTGTGTATGTGTGTGTGTGTGACAACAAATAACATTACATAACAAGTTTTGTCTTGGATAATAAAGCAGAAGCTGGTCCCATCTGACTGGGTTCAATCCTTCGAAACAATCAATCCCCCACCAGTAATGGCAATGTTTTGTTCAACCCCAAGCAGTCACGCATTGAGCATGACTAGACCTTTTTTTGTTAACTTTTTATTTTGTTTTGGGGTATAGCTGATTAACAATGTTGTGATAGTTTCAGGTAGACAGCAAAGGGACTCAGCCATAGGTATACATGTATCCATTCTCTCCCAAACTCTCCTCCCACC